ACACGTTATGCATACGGCCCCTAGTGTTAACTTCAATTTCTCCTGTGTCTCTTCCACATCAGTTCCCTCCAACTTTTAAAACGGTTTATGCATCATCAGGGCTGGACTGGGACAAAAAATCGGCCCTGGCATTTTTTGGTCCAGGCGGCCCATCACCACTTCGATATATATATATATACACACTATAGTCCAGTCAAAAGTTTTTGAACAGTAAGATTTTTAATGTTTTTTCAAAAAAAAAATAATACATTCTGTCGGCCCCTTAAATGCATCGGCCCACCGGGAAAATGCCCAGTATGCCCCATTTACCAATTCAGCCCTGTGCATCATCCATACATGCACACTATAACAATTCATGTTTAAAGCATTCAAGAAACAGAGACAGTTTATGGAACTGAAAAAATTCCTTTTATTGTGATTTCAACAAGAACTGTTTATGACCTGGGTCTCTCCTTCTTGCCTTTGTACAGAGCCAGAAGAGAAACGTTGGCCACCTTCACCACCTTGAAACGAACACCGGGAATATCACCCACGGCGTGTCCCTTACGACCGAATCCTGCCACCAGAACCTCATCGTTTTCCTGTAACAGAGAGAGAAACGACACGCTGAGAACTCTGTAGATCGATATCCTCTTAAACTCAAATGCACGAATGAGGTGTAAAATTTCACACGCATAAATCCAATTCACCTCAATGAAGTTCAAGCAGCCGTCGTTGGGGACGAAAGCTGTGATCTTCTTGCCGTTCTTGATCAGCTGGACCCTGACGCACTTCCTGATGGCAGAGTTGGGCTGCTTGGCTTCAACACCACTGTCAACATGACAAACAAAGTCAGTCATTCATTCCTTAGTTAATCCATATATTCATCAGTCTCGACAAACACGGCCTCTTACACTTTCTCAAGCACAATGCCTTTGGCGTGAGACGCTCCACCGAAGGGGTTGGCCTTCAGAGCAGTGCCCAAATGGGCCTTCTTGTACTGTTTATCATGCCATTTCTGCTCGCGGCGGTGGTTACGCAGTTTTCTAGCAGTACGCAGTCCACGACACTTGCCTGAAGGAGGAAAAAGAGAAAGGAATAAGAAAAGCTTTTTTTTTTTTTTTTACAAATACCCAGCATCCTACACATTTGGACCAGTTTGAAACATCTAATAGTTTGCAATTATAAGAAAATACCGTATTGGCCCAAATATAAGACGACCCTGATTATAAGACGACCCCCATTTTTCCAGATGTACCTTTTGGAAAAAGGCTTTTTAAAAACCAAATCTTGTTTTTTCTCAGTAAAACACATTTTGTCTTCAATTATTTTCATATTGCATATTTTTCCTATTTTAATTTTTGTTTTGAAAGTATGGTAAAAACTGGTTTAAAAAAAAAAGAAGAATGCTTTAAGCTAGAATAAAACAGATCTTTATTTTGGCGTATTGCATATTTAAATATTCATACAGCAAAATATACTGGAGGTCATCAAATTTTAGTGAAAATCAAAATCGCTGGCAACTTTTTTTCAAAAATGCTGGCGAGGAGTTAAAATCAAAAAGGTTTAACTGTACTATTTAATGGACCCAAGCTAATATGAATTAACAGCTGTAAGAATAGTAACTTCTGTAACAAAACGTAGCTATTGCTCGTTAATTTTAACACATTAACTAAGGTTAACTAACGAGACCTTACTGTAAACTTACCTATTGTTCTTTATAATTCTTTTGCACTTTAATCTGTTAGAAACATTTGTTTACTTTAGACATTTTTGTGTATTCCTTTATTGTATTTAAATGTCCAGTTCTTTTTATTATATTAAAAAAGTTATTAAACCTGTTATGAGAACTCCCCCCCCCTTCCCCGATATCGCGATAATACCGTATGCTAAAGCTTCAGCAAATATCGCAACATGAAACCTTGATACCGTCACATACCTACTCTAAAATGGAATAGAATCGACTATGAGGTGTAAACTATAAAGCTGTGTAAAGCTACAGAAGATGCTGTTCGTCACTTGAGCATCTCCTGACAGCCACCATCAAAATACAAACCATAATCACAGGCCTTGCTGGTTCTGATTAGCAGTTTAAAATCAAAAACCATACAATTCTATAGAGGGTCTGACTAGATTCAAACTAGCATTAGCCTAACATGCTGCCACAATTTTAAAGCAGTTAAATTATGATATACAACATGCAAATCGGATTAACGATATAAAATCTGCGTAACAAATGAAAAATAGTGTAATATTGTGAGTAGGAGTCTAAATAAAGATCCTGTCAGTGTTTCATGTTTGCGCAGCTCAGGGCCGCTAACGTTACACGATGCCTCAGTTATAGAACACAAAATAGCGACAAAAACCGCTTCATAGCAAGCTCCACTTTGTCGAAACGTATGCATTAAACTTTTAACAACATGTAAACCAAGACACTTGTGTGGTAAAACCAAGTATTCGAGCGTTTTAAGCGGTTTTATTGCCGCCTCACACGTACCCATGATCGCGTGCTCCGAATCCGGACAGGAAAGAGAGATCACGTGACGCTATGTGCAAATGACTGCTGGAAGGACCCCGCGGGCAGCGAAAGCGAGCGCCTGTGCATAAATCAGTTACACTCATTTGATTGAATACTAGAGATTAAGAAAGGATTAGAATTTCAGCCATTTTATTGTTCATTTCTCTATTTGTATGACAGAACTACCACTTTGATTTATTTAATCTGATGTATTTTACCGTCAAAATATTGTATTAAAAATCTCTACTTACTTGTGATCGGAAAAAATGCATATTAATTTATGATTACAATATATTAATGCAGCAATATGGTACGCCATAATATTTTGAGAATGAATGCAATGACCTCAATAAACTTAATGTAAGTGTCCAAAGTGTTTTGTTTTGTTTATACTGTTGTCTTTTTTTTTCTGTTTACTTTATAAGTGGAACTGGACTTTTTGTATAATTGAAATGAGAAATACATATATTTAAAATAAATAAATAAACAAGTACATTTTCCCTTTTGGTTTAATACTGAAATATAGGCTATTATTATTTGTAACAACTATATATATGAATGGGAAATAAATAAATAAATACCGTTTGGGTTTAATACCTACTGAAATATAGCCTCTAGCTAGTGTAGGCCTATAAACAATTTTTATCATGTATTTCTATTGTGCCCATTAACCCTCTGGTATTGTTCATTTGGGAGTCACACTTCGTGGTCAAAAGTGGCAACTGAACACCTGAAATTTAACTTTTTTTTTCAGTAAAATCAATGTAATTTTTTTTTTGTCCAATAATATTTTTTCTTTTGTATTTTGAGAGAATTTTATGGTACTAATTAATATTTATGCAATAATTATAATACATTTTCCCATTGAAAATAATAAATTTTTTCTAATATTTTTATTCTACTTTTCAATTATGGCAGTATTTCATGTTAAAATAGAGACAATGCAGGTTAGTGCCGTCTGGTGGGAGTAAAAAAAAGAAAAAAAACATCTGCAGTTCCATGGTTTAGCCACTAGATTGCTATATAGCGCTATATAAAAAGGCTTATAGTTGTATTTAGACATAAATACTTATTTTTATGAAGTTGTGGATTTGGATATATATTTAGACACTAGAAATATTATTATTATTATTACTAAAAAGAACATTATTTTGTGTATTTGGTGTAATGAAATGTGTTTATGTGGTTTAAGGTTAAAAAAACACATTATTTTCCACATACTGTACATTATTGTTTCTCCTCTATGCCCCGCCTTTCTGAAACGTGTCGATTTTTACAAAACTCATCGGTCTGAAAAGTCCAAAGAGAACGGAACAATTGAAATCGCATCATATGACCCCTTTAAGACAACTTTTTGAAGGTTTAGATTTTTTGGTTTGAAATGTCAGTTTTTGCATTAATTTTTCAGTCAAACCTGAACACAAAGAAAGATATTTTGTTAACATCAAAGTTCAACAAAAATGTAACAAACATGAACAGAAATGCTTTATCAGAGGTTAATCAATCTGATTTCAACCTCTTATTTGAGACTTCTGGCTCAATTTTGCCATATTGTTACAGCCACATCAGTTCATATATGTGTGTGTATAATAGTGTGTTTTGTGTGTGTGTGTGTGTGTGTGTGTGTGTGTGTGTGTAAGTGAGTGTGTGTGTGTCTGTTTTGTACTTTTGATGTTTTAGAGTGTCACCCCTTCCTTGGTTTCTGTTTTTACTGCATTGTGGCTGAATTATTGATTTTATTTCACACATTTGCAAAAACATGCTTTGTGTTACAGTCACACTAGTTCATATATGTGTCTATTTTGCACTCTTGATATTTTAAAGTGTCACCCCTTCATTGCTGTGCACTTTTTTCCTGCACTGTGAATGATTTGTAGATTGCACACACAATTATTTTTGTGTATTTTTGTGTATTTCCCATTCATTTCCAATGGCTTTTTGACCGTGAACAACACAAGTGTGACTTTTTTTTTTTTTTACACTATTTAGCTTTTTCGAATCAAGTCCATGATGATTTATATTTTATTTTTTTATTTATTCATTCATTTTTTGTGGTCACATAGCGACTGCCATAAAAATCATTGAGTTTCGTACCATTCCGATGAAGTAGCGCTTTTTAAAAATCCAAAACATTTTTTTCGCTCTAAAATGACCGAACAGCAGCTGAGGGTTAATGTGCACTACAGAAGCAGTGCAATGTACTTCACACATAATAAGCAAAATAATTTTGGAACAATTTCGACCTTCTGCCACAGTTATCAATCAATAGCATTGTCTCATGTTCGTTAATTATGCGCCTAATTAGTTTAGTCTCATGGATCAGTCGTTCACATAGACTGTATGGCTCTGCTGGTTTGTGCATCACTGTGTCAGCAGCACACGCTCTGTGAAGGGGCGTGGCCGCGTCGCCGGCTGGACGCTGATTGGCCGCCGCGCCTGTCAATCATCGCTGAGGTTACGCCCCGTTATCCGGGCAGATTATGAAGCAGCAGCTTCAGCATCATCTCTGGCAGACTCATCTGGATGTATACATGGCATCAACGTGGCGCCCAATGTCTCTTGCGTTATTTTCTTTTGTTTTCCTGCAGATATCCTCGTCTTATGAGCAGCTGTCTGCCTTTGTGGAAGGAAGGTGAGTCGATTATTTTGAAAGAAGCCAGAGACGTGGTCTTTTAGGCGTCCCGTTTATTGAATGGTGAAACCGGGAGAAACAAAGACTATATATACTGACTGTGCATCTATGCATTTATTAAACGCTGATGAACTGGTGTGACAGAGACAAACTAGTGCTCGCCTCCTTTGTCCACCCTTCAGGGCTCTTGCAGTGAAACACAAGAGAAAATCCATCAGCATCAGTTCACAGGCAAATCCATATTTGCTACTAAAACTGGAGGCAGAGATGTGTGTTGGATAAGATGAGAGCAGGTCAGGATGCAGGAATGATCAGCATCACTGAAGGAATGTCAGGAGCATCTGTTTGAGCTTCATGCTGAGATGATAATATGAATGAAATATTAATTTTTTTAATTTAATTCTGATTCATGTACCATTTATTGTTGGGCTGAGCGTCACATAGACCTATCATTTGTAGATTCAAGCTGCAGGATCGCATTATGAATCATTTATTTATTATATAAATGAGCCTGAGGCCTGTTTATTATTAATAATTGATCTTTTGATGCACTAATGAATGAATAACTTTTTGTGTGAATGAGTTTGTTGATTTTGTCTTGTTTATAGATAGACAGGCAGATTTTATTAGCATTTTATTAAGACAGCTGCAGATCATCAGAATTTACAATAGACAATACCATAAAATTACACTAAAACATGCACAACATACACATTATACTCACAATAAACACAGTAAAACTAGTTGAGGGTGCAAAAACAGAAATGTTGAATTTTGTTTAATTATATATTATTTAAATGTACAATTAATCATTTAAAAAAAAAACTTTTTTGAGCATGCAATTTTAAATCCAGGTGTTTCAACAAGATGGCAGATTGGCATTTTATCTTTATCCTCCAGATGGTGCCTAAGGCATTAATATTTTATTTTATTTTTTTATTTTATATTTTTCCAGAAAACCTCAATATTTAATTTGACACACTTAAGTATTGTAAAAATGCTGAAAGATATATAAGTAAATAAACACATAGGCTAGTAAATAAACACAGAAATCAAACCAGCAAAAAAATAATTTTATTTTATTTTATTTTATCCAGAAAACCTCAAATATATTTCATTTGGCACACTAACATATTGTAAAAATGCTGAAAGAAATATAAGTAAATAAACACAGAAAAAAAAAAACCAGCAAAAAATGCAATTTTTGCCATTTTCTTTTATTTTATTTTCTAGAAAACCAGAGTATCTAATTAAGTTCTCGACACACTTATGCACTGTACAAAAACTGAAAGAATAAGAAAATAAACACGTAAATAAATCAGCAAAATAAAAAGCAAATGTGTTCCCCTAAAATAAAAATAATGGTGTAAATTGCTAGTAAATACATTTCACAATTAATTACAAATAAACAGCAAATAACATGAAAAACTAAAATAGCATTTTCTTGTAAAACATACTCGAATAATTTTATTTTTTAAAATTCTTTACAGTGAATGCAACTCTTGGTATTGTTTTCCAAGCAGTAGGCGTTTTATTATGGGCACATACGTCGAGTTTCTCTGCAGTCTACTTCATATTACAGTTTGTATAAAACGCAGCTCTAATTGGCAGCATATTGCTTCGTAGGAGCTGAAAGCGTGTAGCGTTTCTCCACTTGCACAGATGGAGTTTTACTACATGCAGGCCAGTCCAGGCTTTAGCTGTGTATTAACAGATTTGATTTGGTGAAGCATAGATGCCGGCAGAACTTAAAAGACACTCTAATCTGAAATACGCTGCATGCGTTTCGAAGCGGTCAGCAGATTTCATTGATTATATAAATGTGCCGACTGTGGCCCTTCACACTGGCCCACATGTTCAGGTACAGCGCTGAACGGATTAGCCACTGCCTCTGTTTCTTTTAAGCTTTCCTTCTCTATCTGGCTAGACTGTATTCGCTCAGGTTGTTGTTTTGGATGGTGCCATGCAGGTCAAGTTCGCTTGATGCAGACTCTCTGTTTCGCTAAATATAGTTATGCAACAATAACAGAACACAAACCCTCCGGCATCTCCCTCGTGGGCTTCTGTTCGTTTGACGCAGCCGTCCGAGAGAGCGAATTATTGATGCCGTTTATGAGAAAATCAGAAGAAACGTCACAGGTCTGCTGTTGTTACAGGGCAGGTAAACAAACAACACCTCCTGCATGGACAAGGGCAGATCCGCACTCACAGGGTCACTCTATCTGCTGCGCTGAGGTGATAAATGATATTTAGATTGGCTTGAAGATGCACAGCAACAACAAATACATGCTTTTAGTATTGAAAAGCAGTGGTTAAAGTTGTATAAAAGAAATCTTTCTTAAATGCAAGTGTGTTGACGGTATTTGTGGCATGCTAACTTTGACATGTTTGCCTGCAAAAAATATTTTAGAATAATTTTTAGTGTTATTTTAGAATCACTGAGATACTATTATAGTATTTTTAGGTTTAGTTTAGTATTAGTATCATGTTAAACCAAATTAAAATGTAAAATGTTGGCAACTGGCTGAAGTAAAAAGTATTTTAATTTATTTCAGTTAAAGTTTATTTTATTTCAAGTAACAAAAATGTTTTATGGTTTTAGTTTCAGTTTTAGATTTAGTTAACTATAGCAAAAACAATTAAAAAATGCGTTGCTAAAAATGCATTTTACATTGCAAGAAATTAAATACACAATATTTGCAGTTTAATATTGCAATTTTTTATATTTAAACATTATATGATATATACAGACAAAAACAAAAATGACTTACTAAAACTAAAACCATTTTTGTTACTTGAAAAAAAGTAAACATTAACTGATATAAATTAAAACATATAAATACTGTTTATTTCAGCTAATTGCCAACATTTTAATTGCCTGAATTTTATTTATCTCATTTAGTTGCCAAAGCAACATTTTTCATTTTAATTTAGTTTAACTAAAATAGCTAAAACTGAAATAAAATTAATAAAAACTATATAGACAAAAAAACTGTAACTACTAAGAATTACAAAAACACACAACAAAATTACTCAAATAAAACTGAAAAGGAAAATATGTATAAAAATTATTCAAAATATTAATAAAAACTAATAGTATTTCATAGATACTAAAATAACACTGATATAACAGTATAGTATATTGTATATATAAAAGACTATTAATCAGTGTAATTTTAGTTTTATTTATTTACTATTATAGTTTTTATTCAAATTTTGAATGAACTAAAGTTGATCAATTTTACGAGTTTTTTTCATGTCTATTAGTTTAGCTTTATTTTGTACGTTTTTTTCATTTTATATTTATATTTTATTTTATTTCACCTTAATTTTAATAAAATGATTTTAGTAGTTTTAGTGTTTGTTCACAATAACAACCCTGCTATGAATTTAAAAATAACTACTTTTCTGCATTTTCTGAAGAAAATGTGAGTGGTTGCTATGCAGTTGCTAAGGTGTTAAAGCAGCAGGTCGAGTTAACGCTGAAGCACTAGCACTAGTGACTGATGCTTGACTCTGAAAACACTATTAATTCTTCACACACACCATAGATTGTTTATATGCACAGTTAATCAATTCAAACTGAGCTGTGGCTCACACTAAAGAAAACATTCATTTATTTGTGTTATATTTTTATATATGAGTCTTCTGCTTCATCTTTCATCCTCGCTAACCAAAGACATCTTCACGTCTTACTTTGATCCCTGACCGACATTATGTGCCAGCGCCGGTCAGACTGACCCATAATCAGGTCTGAGAACGAGGTTAAGCCCATTTCAGCAGCATTACTCAGTGATTAAACAGTTAAACTGTTAATCTTTCAGTAATCCCTCTTACTGCTGAAGAAATCACAAGAACGTGCAGCAGAAAAATCACACATCAGATCTCAATCGTTTCTCCTAGACAGCAACAGGTTAAAAGAAATGCAAATTGAGATGTCTCCTGCTTCTCAGATGTTTCTCCTGAGAAAAAAGACCCTGCATTGGAATCTCACCTGTGTTTCTGAACAGATCTTAAAGGAACAGTTCATGCAAAAAATGAAAATTTGCTGATAATGTATTCACCCTCAGGCCATCAGAGTTGTAGATGAGTTTGTTTCTTCATCAGATTTGGAGAAATGTAGCATCACTTGCTCAGCAATGGATGCTCTGCAGTGAATGGGTGCCGTCAGAATGAGAGTCCAAACAGCTGATAAAAACATCACAATAATCCACAAGTAATCCACACCACTCCAGTCCATCAGTTAATGTCTTGTGAAGACAAAAGCTGCATGTTTGTAAGAAACAAATCCATCATTAAGACATTTTAACTTCAAACCATTGCTTCTGGTAAAAATACGAGTCCATAATCCATAATAACGCTTCCTCCAGTGAAAACGCCACGTTCTCTGAATCAGGAGATAAATCTGCACGGATCAAGCACCGATTACAAGCAAAAACAGTCCAAAACAGCTCTAAACAAATGGATTTTGATGTGAGAGACAACAGGAGATGGACTTTTTCACTGGAGGAAGCGGATGGATTATGGATTATGGACTCATATTTTAGCAGAAAGCAATGGTTTGACCATGCAGTTTTCACTTCACAAGACGTTAACTGATGGACTGGGGTGGTGTGGATTACTTGTGGATTATTGTGATGTTTTTATCAGCTGTTTGGACTCTCATTCTGACGGCACCCATTCACTGCAGAGGATCCATTGCTGAGACACTGATGCAATGCTACATTTCTCCAAACCTGATGAAGAAACAAACTCATCTACATCTTAGATGGCCTGAGGGTGAGCACATTATTAGCAGATTTTTTATTTTTGGGTGAAATATTCCTTTAACAACATCTCAAACCTTTTTCAAGATATCTCAATACGATTTCTTATCTTATTCTCATCAAATAATCCGAGCTGCTCTCCATATCGATTTTATATCTCTTGCTACATGTTAACGGACTCATTTGTGTGTATATTTATTTCTCCTGCGGCTTTTCAGGAGAAACGTCTGAAGCAAAGCTAATATTTAAAGGAAGCAAAACTGAGAAATATCCTGCGGGAACAAAAGCAAAGTGACTTGAAAGCGAGTTGGTCTCACTTCACGGATGGTGATGTTCCAGCAGTGACTCACAGCATCAAAGCCTCCTGTATCTCATTCATATTCATAACACGTGAAGATCCGATCTGCAGCTGAGACTGAATGATTGTATCCAACTATAAAAATGATTTCAGTTGTTTATGAAGGTATTTATCTGATTAATAATGCACTCATTAAATTCTCCTACTTACAGCTCAGATGATGCATCATCCCAAGACATCAGAATTCAACAAAGTAAGTTATTTTGATGATATCTTCAATGGTTTTTGCAACCCTGTACATCCATATATAGGCTATCATATTTGATACACACATTTCTAAGGCCTTTAAATGATCAAAACTTTGCCGTTAAACCTGTTATACAAAATCTATTCCACGCCTTCTGTCGTCTGATTGATAGTTTAGACTTTTTATCCAGTAAAAGCTCTTTTTGTCTAATTGTACAAACGTCCAGCTTCAGCTGGAGCTTCACGTGTGTTTCTGCGGTCAAATCTTGACTGATTTTTCTCAAGTAAACGTCAGAATAACTGCAGTAATATCTCCAGATGAACACTTACTGGACTGAAGCAGCTCAGCTTTACTTGATTCTCCATCAATCATGTTTTAAAGTCTCAAATCTGATCCTCAGGATCTTTTGAGGAGCGTTTGTTTATTCATCTCTCAATCATCATTGTTTTGCATTGCATTATGTTTTGATCATCAAACTAGGCATTTAAATCTCATCTTACTAAGACATATTATTGGAGATATAGAGTGTCAACTGATATTTATATCATTTTATTTAAGTATCTGCCATACTGTTATAAAGACCAAATTGCATTTTTTTTTTTTGTAACAATGTATACTACCGTCTAAAAGTTTGGGGTCAGTACATTTGAAAGAAATTAATACTTTTATTCAGAAAGCATGTTTTAAATCAATAAAAAAGTGAAGTGGTAAAGACTACTGTTAGAAAAGATTTCTATTTTGAATAAATGCTGTTCTGTTTAACTTTTCATTCATCAAAGAATCCTGAAAAAAGTATCACAGGTTCCAAAAAATAAATAAAAAATCAAGCAGCACAAGTGTTAGAATTAGAATTAGATCATTAGAATGATTTCTGAAGGATCATGTGACACTGAAGACTGGAGTAATGATGCTGAAAATTCAGCTTTGATCACAGAAATAAATTATATTTTAACAGATATTCACATAGAAAACTGTTATTTTAAATTGCAATAATATTTCACAATATTACTGTATTTTCTGTATTTTTGATCAAATAAATGCAGCATTGATGAGCAGAAGAGACTTCTCTTAAAATAAAACATTAAAAATGTTACTGATCCCAAACTTTTGAATGGCAGTGTGTGTGTGTGTGTGTGTGTGTGTGTGTGTGTGTGTATACACACACACTAAATTATATGTACTAAATAAATTGCAATAATATTTCACAATATTACTGTATTTTCTGTATTTTTGATCAAATAAATGCAGCATTGATGAGCAGAAGAGACTTCTCTTAAAATAAAACATTAAAAATGTTACTGATCCCAAACTTTTGAATGGCAGTGTGTGTGTGTGTGTGTGTGTGTGTGTGTGTGTGTATACACACACACTAAATTATATGTACTAAATTAATTTATATATATATATATATATATATACATACACAGAGTTCTTAATAAACGTGCTTATTTGCATATTTGTTTGAATAAATATGATATAAATATAAATATTTCTAAAAGTGTTTTAGCAGATTTAGTAATGAAACGAGTCTCTGGTCACCTGATGTCGGTGTTGTTGTGCAGATGGGGTGGACGCTGACGGCTCGGTGTTTGCGGCTGAAGCGCTGCAGGTGAGACGAGCCGAGCCAATGTGACCTTGTGCCGCCGCTGGGGTGCAGATTTCCCTCCAAACGTCCAAAGCAGATGAATTTAATCCTTGACAGACTGCATGGTCTTTGGAAAAACAGATTACAGACATGCTACATTTTTAATCAGGAATTTCACTCTGATTTAGGATACGTTACTGTGCCCCAAAAGTCTCTAATTCCCTTTCCAAATATGATTTCTGTGAACTGTTATTAAGTTTATTTCACAGCATAGGGGAGAACAAGGCTACTTGTCACATGCAAGAGTATTTTCATAAATGCCCACTTGGGGGAGCTGTCAGACTTTTATTGCGGCATATTGTTTTTGAATTGAACTGAATTACAATTCACTGTATATTGGCCAGAACATCTGGTTTACATGTTAGTTTGATATGTTACAGTTTACATTTTTGCAGTTCAATCAACTGTTTTGTGGTTATTATAGGTTTAGATTTAACTTAAAAGCTTATGCTCTTTAATAGCATATTATATTGTGACAACTTACCCCATAGGTATGACAGCTAGCCTTACATACACTATTGTTGAAAGAAATGTATACTTTTACTTAGCAAGGATGCATTAAATTGATCAAAAGTGACAGTAAATATATTTATAATGTTACAAAAGATTTCTATTTCAAATAAATGCTGCTCTTTTGAACTTCATATTCATCAAAGTATGCTGAAAAACTAAATTTATCACAGTTTCCACAAAAACATGAAGCAGCACAACTGTTTTGAACATTGATAATAATCAGAAATGTTTCTTGAGCAGCAAATCAGCATATTAGAATGATTTCTGAAGGATCATGTGACGCTGAAGACTGGAGTAATGGTGCTGAAAGTTCAGCTTTGATCACAGAAATAAATTACATTTTACAATATACTGTCATAGAAAACAGTTATTTTAAATTATACAAATATGTAACAATTTTATAGTTTTTTCTGTATTTTTAATCAGAAAAATGCAGCCTTGTTGAGCAGAAGAGACTTCTTTCAAAAACATTTAAAACGTCTTACAAACCCCAAACCTGGATGTGTGTTGTCACAATAGTTTGTACATATTATTAAATTCTACACATAATTAGACCATAATACCGACCTCAAACGTTTGAACGATAGTGTATGTTGCTTATGTTACTGTGATATTATGCTCTTGTTTCAGCCGTACGGATGGCAGCTTCACGCTCCTCCATGCAGGAAGCTGCTTCAGTCTCCGGGAATGTTGCTGTACTCTCCTCTGAGTGTTTCTTACAACGGCAAGACCTGCATCCTCTTCAGAGCCCGCAAACTAGCCATCAGGTTCAGGAATCACAGTTTAGTGGACCTCACAGAGAGAACCTTCAGCCCAGACGCACCGGTGGACACCAAAGGCTCCTTCTGCAGCAAAGACAAAGCCATGTGAGTTCAGCTGCAAACATAAATGTTGTTTTTTCACCAGTGAATCTCACAAAAATAGGTCCGGATTGCATTTCACCCCAAAATAAAATGTAAAAAACTTTATATTATTATTATTTTATATCATTATAATATAATATATTATATTATCTTCTGCTTAATGTCACAATGCATTTTTGCTTTTGGAGTGAAATATTATCTGGACATGCTCTGATGTCTTTTCCATACATAAATGATCAAAGCCTGGCCCAGCTAAAAACTACCTCAGCCTGGTTTAAGATGCTTTATTGAGAAGGAAAATTTGACAAAAAATTTGAATTTACACGTTTGACTTGATGGATATTTAATAATATTGTGACATATTTCGTTATTCTCCAGACTCAATCTACGTTTTGGCGATGTGGAAGATCTAAGAGGCCTCTCCATCAGGTCATTTCTTATTTATTTTTGTATTTTTTATATTTTTCATATAAATTATTTTTTATATTTTTATTTTATTAAATATATATATAATTATAAATATAATGTTTTATATTTTTATGATGATATTTTCTACAAAAAAAAATAAAAAATAATATATATATAAAAATGTAAATAATAAATATTAATT